CTTACCAGGTCATCGCCTGTGGCCAGGACCAGGTCCAACAGGGCGTTTCCTCTGGTGGGACCGTGCACCTCCTGGATTAAGTGGAGGTCCTGTATCTCAGCTAGGAACCTCCTGGAACAGTCCATCCTGGCTGACTGTTCCTCCCAGCAGATGTCCGGGTAATTAAAATCACCCATGACAACTACATCCCTTGCCTTAAGTGCCTCTCCAAGCTGGCCCGAAAATTCCTGGTCCAGCTCCTCCCCTTGGCTGGGGGGTCTGTAGTAGACCCCCACCGTCAAATCACTCTCCCCACGGCCCCCTTAAATCTTAAAACTTGTGTTTGGGGAAAGAAAATTCCTTAATGCAAAATGACTCAAGTTTAATCTGAGACAATGTTAAGTGTAGACAAGCCTTAAATTTCAGCAAGAGACAGAGATTGATATACAGATTACTCTGACTGAGCCACAGGTAAGATAACAGAATGAGGCATAATGTTGTGATGTCACCTCAAATGCAACTACTGAAAATAACTGGAGGAAGGATGGGAACCAGATAATATCAGATGACCTAAATAAGAAAAATGTCCATAAAAATACTAAATAAAAAACTGAAAAAAACAGGTGTAGTAACAAAGGAATACTACCAGAAAAGGACACTCAGGTACATATAAATGTTTACCACAGGCAGAAAGAAAACAGAGTACTTGATAGAAAAGTATGTTTATGCATGTTCACACACTTGCACTCAAAAGGTCAGATCCAGACATGCAGACATGTTCAGGTTGTGGCACTGCAAACCTCTTTCCAGATTTCCCAGTAGCAAAAAAACAGTGCAAAACATACCAAGCAGCGCAGTGTAAAGCAGGGTACCCCCCGTGCTGAGGCACCCTGCATCCGAGCCAACCCCTAGCCAGCTGACTGGGATGCAGTGTGCCTCAAGATGGGGGCTCCACGTGCCTCAGTGCACGGGCTCTACAGTGGAGCCCCTGCCCTGAGGCACTCAGAGACAAGGGAGCAGCCAGACCAGAGCCACCTGCTCACTGCCCCTTCTCAAGGCACACTGCGCCCCAGCCAGGTTTGCAGCATGCAGAGACAGGGGAGCAGGCAGCCCAGGGTCTCTACATGTCACTCCCCAGCTATCTGGGGCACAGGGTGCCTGAATGTGGGGGCTGCCTGCCAGCTAGACCCCACGCTAAGGCTCCCTCTGCAGCACATGGAGCTGTGGGACAATGTGGCCTGCTGCAAAGCGCACAAGCAGGGGCGTGCACTGCAGCACAAAGTAGCAGTACACATTTGTGCTGCTGCAAATGCAAGCCCCTGCTCATATGGACACAGCCCAAGAGTCCAACTTCTGTAACCAGAAGAACTAAAGCAAACCCTGCAGCGGGAATGGGGTTTCTTCATGAGCTACTCTGAAAAGGCACTCTAAATTACATAGTAAAATTCAAGCACTCCTATCTTATTCTCTGCACAACTAGAAACTGGAATGCTAGAAACACTTGAAGCTGTATACATTATGAATATACTACTAGCCAGGTGTACCAAGCAATCAGCAACTGGATCGTGAACTTTATTTTCCATGCCTGATTATATTCTATTCAAACCAGATGGTAAGAAGTACAGCTGAAGGCATATTAGAATATTAGAATATTTAAGTACTTTAATTTTAAATAATGAAGCCATTCAACG